TGCGCTGTCTGCTGCAGCTAGCATCGTTGACTCCACACCAAATAACTAAAAAATGTAAGCGTATCCCCAAACAGTAAAAAAGGAAACAAACAACTGACCTGCAAGAAAAATGATGTGAAGAGTAAGAACATTGACAGAAATAATGAACCCATGATAAGAACTATGTATGCAGTTGAAGCGTTCGAGAAAAAGAATGAAAACTGAATTTCTATGGCTACGTGTTCTGCAGAAGGCAGAATGTTGACTTGCATGTTGCATGAACTCACCACGTAGACCAGAGGTATAGAAGAGATCCCGAATAGAACGGTGAGTACGGCAAACGCCTTAATTGTAGCTGCAGACGAGTAGACAGATGTTCCAAGTAAACTAAAATGTAAAAGAATTAGTTCTCCATCATTTTCCAAGCTTCCTTTGGGAAAAGCTAAACTTACTAGATAACGAGTAATGTACATGATGCGGTAAGCATATACATAAAGATATCAAACACATAGTTTACAGTCCAGTATAAAAGAGGAGACAGGCCAGCCATTTCCTGTAATGAGGTGATTCTTATGAATGGATAGATTAAAATAAGTTTAAATCTTTTACAGTTCTACTCCGCCAAAATAAGAGAATTTGATGTACCTGAAGATGCAAAGCTGACGATGAACGTTCCGAAACTAGCAGGAACACAAAGGAGCAAGGAACAAAAATTAAGGCTATGACAATAAACAATGCGATCAATACATCGTTATTTTGCATTCTGAAAATAAAAACAATATGATGCCTAAAAAACTTTTTTGTGGTTGTCAAAAAAAAGACCTATTCATCAGGAAAAAATGCAAACTCTTCAGTTTAGTAGTGATCTTATGAACAGCGCGTCTTCGCTAATGCAGTGAAAACTTTGCCGTCGAGTGAATGTCTAAGCTTTTCTCCTGTTAATCTACTTCGTCGAGTATGTAAAAATGTTTATCTAGTATTGATAGTTAGTAACTCCTCTCACAATCTACACATCGTTCTATTCAAATGTTG